CAAAAGGTAACATGAAGATTTTAGAGGGTGAAGTGAATAGTAGAAACTCAAAATTGCTGTGTACTCGCTTTGAACTGTCATGAACTTTTCATTGAAAATGACTTCTTTTCCTTTGTAGATAAAGATTATGATCCCAACTGGACTATGCTACTTCAAATTTTGGAAAACTGAGCAAATTTTTCAGAGATCCTTGTTCAAACTCTCATTATTACGCATCAAATCAAATCTCTAATAATCTAGCCTCTTTTCGATATTTAAATGAACAGACTGAAAAAATTTAGTTAAAATCTCTACAAATGTTCAGATACTTTCAAGAAGCGTAGAAAAACGAAAAAAAGTCTTTTGTACACAAAACTAATATGGTTGAACACTAGTCCCCTCCCCGAAATTTCAAGTATTTCAAACAAATTAACAAATGGCACTCGTGAAGTGTTAAGAAAACCAGTGTTATAACAATTTTTCGACTATGTTCTCGATGATGACTGACCGTTCTTCACATACTATTTAATCGAAATTAAGCGGTAAGCTGGGCGGGCGATGACAAATCTCCCATTTTAATCAGCCATCTTTCAGCTGTAAGATGTAGTTGCATGAAGTAAAAATACATTTAGGTTAATTTAGTAATAAATTCGTAGTTATTACTGGCTGTGATTCATTGAAATCAAATCAAGGGAAGCTTTTGATGTGGATAGCAACGATGATAAATGTTCTACGATCTTTCTCTATTCTTTTGATTTATGACATTAAAATTATTTTTTCTCGCTTTTTTAAATAAAATTTATATAAAAAAATAAATATCACGGGAATTAGCTGAATTAATAAATCTTACGATAATATTTACAACAAACAACAAAAATAAAATCTAACATTTATAAACAAAAGAAATGTCAAAAAAGTTGAAAATATGAAATGCTCAATTAAAGGAGCAAACATTTTGCTTTGATATACTCTTTCAATCTTCAATAATTCGTGACCGCATTCACAATGGCATCGAAAAATCCCTGTGGATTATCTATCATCAATTGATGTCCCGCTTGTCTAACTCTCATTAGATTTGCCTTTCCTCCTTGTTGTCTGATGTTTTTCACTACTTCTTCGCCAGCTTTTACATCCATCCAATCGTGATCACCATATAGAAATGTTACACGAATATCACGTTTGATCTGTGTAAGACGTTGTTGTAATGGTTCATATGCATATACATCTGGTTTCAAAATTTTGGGGAAGTGCATATTCGCCACTACCAGGCTGAGCACATAAATGATATAAATACTTTGCTACAGTCGATTTGGGTAAGATTAGTTTACCTAAAATTGTAGTAAAGTTGATTAGAATTAGTCGAAAAACTAAATCATCTATACTGTTCTTTATTTTACCTTCATCGACTTTTTTCATTACAGCTGCTCCTGTTTCGATACCCGCCTCTTCTTCAGCAGCTGCTGCTGCTGGACCAATTAGAAATCGTCGCGTCACATAACCCTGAACAGGCTTGGGTCCAAATGGACCCATAAGACGAACAGCGGATTGTGGAGTATAACCATAAATCCATAGGGCACGAATTAGTTGACGTATTAGTCGAAAACGAAGTGGCATATGACTAAATCGAGAATTATGAGCTTCATCTGTCTCTGGTGGGGGAGAGGGTACTCCTGTAGAATATAAAACAAACTTTGAAGTTCTTATTATAAACCCAATCATGAAAAATGATAGTACATTGTTTTGTAGAGAACAGAATTACAGGTCTTTCGAAACTGTTTGTGCTATTCACGAGGGATCCTCCTGAGGTGCTAAAAACCTTTTTGAATGGAACTAGTTTGAAAATGTAGGCTCTCATGGGCTATGAAGAATCCCAACTTGATTCGCGCGCAATCAGCTTTGTTGCTGAGATGTCGAATTTTTACTCGAATTTTCCCCATGGGATCTGGATTTCAAGCAAAAACGGAGTTTTGAATTTCATGTTGTAATATATCACATATTGTAGCCCAGACCAATTGTAGTTCGATGAAAAAAGCCCGAGCTCTAAACCTCTCCCCGCAGGAGTAAAACTTTTTTCATATGGGTACCAAAAGGTAAAACATGGAGCAAGTTTTGAAAAAGTTCTTTTACCGCTGCGCGAAGAGGTTTTCAGTTGGACCTTTTTCACCGGACTACAACTGGTCTGGGCTACAATATGT